AAGGTACAGTTTTCTTCCACAAGCTGAGCCATGATGTGCCATTAATCCACTCCCAGCTGGAACACCAGGGATTCATCTTCTCCAGCCAAATATCTGTCCCATCCCTCAGGCAAAATGGAACAATTGGCAAAGGCCATTACATGGGCCTGGGTTCAGAAATAAATGAGTTTTTTTATACCCATCTTCACCCTAAAAAATATGCCTTATGGAAGAAAAGAACCATATCCTCATATTTTTTCCATTGAAAGTTGGAATGTCCTGTGGAGACAGTTCTCCAAAGAGAGATCACTGTGCTCCCGACAGATCATGGGTCACCTGGGGTGCTTGATAAAAAGAGTCCCAGGCCACATTCTAGTCCTCTGAATCTGAATCTCCAGGACAGGTGTCAGATCTGTACTTCCTACATGATCCCATCCAAGATGATCAGCCTAGACGATCTTCACCATGAGGCAGATTGAAGGAAAGACAAGACTGAACGTAGCTCACGGGGGCTCTCAAACCAGACTTTTGAAGAGGCCCAGACAGAAGGGATGCCTGAGTCATCTTGGCCGTTATAGCAGAATCCACAGACGAGGGGACTCAACATTGGACATTGATTTTCTCGCACAGATGCAGAGTCTGGAAATCCAAGAAGAGGGTGCCCAGCATGGTTGGGTTTCCACGGTGGGTGGTTCTCTTCCTGGCTCACCAACGGCAGCCTTCACCCTATGACCCCGCACAGGGTGTTTGAGGTGGAAAGAGCAAGCTCTCCAGCATTATAAGGGCACTAATCCCATTACAAGGGCCCCACACTCATGACCTCCTCAAATTCCAATTCCCTCCCACAGGCCCTACCTCCAAAAAACCTTACGTCGTGGGGCAGGGAGGGGATGCCCAGGGTTTCATTCAACACATGAATTGGGGATGGGGGGCACATAGTCCGTTTATGGAGATGGATCTTTGCTTGGGGTTTTTGCCTCTCTGCAACCCAGCAAAACTACTTAATACGAAGCAGAAACCTGAGCAAGCTGGGCACCGGTGGTTGGTTTTAGCCACTTACAATGAATAAAACATGATGATTTAAAATAACCAAAACCAGAACAAACAAAAGAGAGAGAGAGAGAAATTAGCATTATCGGGTATTTCGGATGTTCATGCAGTTAAGCGCTAAATTTAGCTCTGGACCTTCCCAGAGCTTCTCATTCATTTGCTGATTGTCTTTCCTATTTCATGCACGTTAGATCCTGACTAGAGTTGCAGCTTTTACTCATCCTGAACCAAACTGCCATGTCCAAACTTATGCCCTTTAAATATGAGAAAAGTCACTGTTTTTCCCCCAAGAGCTTTACGTTTTGTATCGATGTATTTCTAGCTTATTAGAGAAGCAAAAACTAACCATACCAGAAATACCCAATGGGGAACCTCCCTCCCCAAACTTATACTAGAAACTGATGAGAAAAATAATACATTTTGTAAAAAACTGCAGTTGAGGTTTTTCTGTAGATCAAAAGATCTTTCTGACTTTTAAATAATTCAGGTAACCCTGGAGATACAGCCACTGTCCAGACAGTGCTTAACAATGAAGAACCCGGAAAGTCACTGATTCCCTGATTTCACATCAGTTATTCTATTAGACAAGTCCAGTTACTCAGTGTCTCTGTGACAGGAGGGTGACAGCTAGATGTGATGCACGAGTCTCTAGTTTCAGGCTGCCTCTGCCATAAATTAATTGGCTGGGTTCCACTGAGTAATTTATCTGCCCTCTCTGATCTTATTGTCTTTGTTAATTCAATGACTGTTTTGAGCATCTAAAATGTGCCAAGCTCTGTGTCCAGGGGAAGTGGATACCTCTGCTCTCGAGGAGGCCACAGGCTGGAGACAAGGAAGTTTTCCATCTCATAATAGAATGGATACTTTCCTTGTATGGGTGCCTTGTCTGTCCCTTGCTCATTGGACATATAAAATAAAAACCAGAGCAGGTGAGTGATAACGGAATAAATGAGTAAATGAAATACAAAGGTAATTTTCAGGCACCTTATTTTATGCTACCACCCTTTTGGGGTCTCCTTTGTCTATAACATGGGCCCAAGTTGTCCATATTTGATTTGACCCTTCTTCATCTTTAATCCTCAGGGAAACCTCATTCGGTGGCTATCATCTGCCCTTTTTTTTTGTCCTGCTCTAGAAGTTGTTCAGAATCGGCTTCCATCCCTCATCTCACCTCTGAATATTTTCCTTTATCAAAAATTCAACAGCCGTCCATCAAGCACCAAGCACTGGGCCAAGCTAGATGCTAGTAAGTGTGGACCTGCCCCCACCTCCTCCTCTGTGGCTATGGCTGGTCCTGTGTACATCCCTCTGTGTCCACAAAGGCCGTGCCTCAGCCCGTCCACCCATAGCTATTGATGGACCAGAACTGCCAAAATGGCACCGTGCTCCCCAGGGAAGTCTAACACCAACAAATTCTGCCCCCTTCTCCTTGCCAACCACTTCATGCTGGCCCCCCGAATAACAATATTTAACCAAGATAGCTGTTTTGAGTGTAGGACCAGCTTAAATTTTCCACCCACTTAATGGCCTGTGAATCCCAATGCTACCCCCAAATGCCCAGAGTGCCGAGCTGGAATCTCTGCCCTCAATATCAAGTTCCCCCCATTACTTGAACAATGAAAGAGACGGTAGTTTCTCCAGAAAGCACTGCTCAGAAAAATCAAATTTTTAAATATTTTTTGGTTGTTGACATTTATTTTATTCATTTATTTATATGCGGTGCTGAGAATCAAACCCAGAGCCTCACACATGCTAGGCAAGCACTCTACCACTGAGCCCCAACCCCAGCCTGAGAAAAATAATTTTTTTAAATGGAGCATTTGAATAGTATATCAAAGTTTGAAACTACTTCTTCATATGTTATTTCAGTTAATATTCATTTCTTTAAAAAAACAAGGCTGAGCAGGAAAAAAAAAAAAAAAAGGTAGGCCACAGTTCCTTTGGTCAGTACAATGGGAGAGCTGGCATTTATGTCCAGGTCTTCTAAGTCAAAATCCCAGAGGCTTTCAGTGATAGCTCCAATAGCATTAAATCTAATTTGAAGAGATACCTCTTCAGGATTAAAAGAAGAAAAATGTTCATTACGCAGTGCTCTATTTGCATTCTGCTTATGTAACAGTATCCTGGCTTTTGGCATTTTGATTTTTTCAGTATACTGAGAAGCTCAGTGGAAGTTGCCCAGGCCTCTCTCAAACTCTTACAGCTTTTACAAGCCTCTTACTTTTTTTCAAATGACATCTCTAAAAATGTTGCTTACTGGCTGACACTTTTCCATCTAGAAATAAAGTTGGCCGGAACTTCAGTTGTACATCTATCTTGTCTTCCTCACCTTCCTAAAAGACATTCTCATTGACCTGGGCCCTCTGTAAACCCTAACAAGATGGCACGTCCTCACGTGCCCCAGCCTGTGAGGGGTTGCGGATCACCAGCAGGCTGAGCCTCGTAAGCTTGGCTCTGTAAACCCAGCTGGCCACACGATTCTGTCCTGATAAATAAATTATCTTCTTCTCTGGGTGATGAAGGTGGATTCAAAGTAGCAAAGGGCGTCTTTGGATTATTTAAAATCATAACACCTCTAGGCCTCCATTCCTTCATCCATAAAATGAAGGAAATAACACTCTAATGAAAATTAATGGAAGATCATCATGGGCCTTTAAGATTTGTAGGTGTAGTTCCAAGATGTTAGAGCAAATGTCAGTCTCTGAACTTTAATTTTCTTGCCTTGGTCCTATCTGGGCTCAACAGCTGCCTGTCTGAAAGCAGGAGTCAAATTTTCCATTTTGGTCGGAGCTGCAAACTCTCTGAGTCATCTGTGCGGTCATTCTGCTCTCCTTGCAACCAGGCTGTGTGCATGGGTGTCCCCTGTCTCGCTGCTGCCGTGGTGCCAAATGATTGGTAACCAGAGGCAACCGGATTCCAGGTGCCCTCTGGGCTGCATCCTCCCTCGGTGCCCACGTGCTCAGGGCATCACAGGGATGACAAAGTGGCTCCCTACAGCTATGGACAGGCTCCTGTAGAGTCATCTCCTGTGGTCATCTCCAAGATATGCTCGCACCCTGAGCGCCTGGGGTGAAGCGGATCTTCACAAGCCAGCCAATGTTAACCGCTTTCCGTTTTTCCCTTTCCCTTTTTATTACAGCTTTTTGGAAAGTTGATGAGGTGAAATATTCTCCAGTGGAAGAAATAATATAAAGCTTAAGAGTCATTTCTGATGGAATGGTGAAATAATTCCACTACTTTTCTTTGAACGAAAATAATAATAATAAGGCAACCTGAGGCAGCCTCTGGGGATTTCATTATTGATAGATTGGAGGGAAACACAGTGGCTCCAGATGAGCAGGTTTTTCTTTTAACTGGCTTGAGCATTTTAGGATGAAGAGATGAGAAAGACAGGTGCTAGACAATAGGATAAACCTGGCACCGGCTTATTTACATAATTTTGTATAGAAACGCATTGATGTACGAAGGATAAAGTGACTGTGTTGAAATGGTGAAAATAAAGTACCTTGGAAAACAATCTGTGTTCACTACCCAGCTCTGAAATAACTGAACATTTTATGAAATACCTCTCGCTTCTTTGTGAAAATGACTGGTGGTTTAAGCCCTGTGCATACGGTTTTAAGAAAACACCATCTTTCATGCTATTGTTTAAGGTAATTCTTAAGAATGATTCCTCTAAGCAGATGAGACATGGAGTGGGGGAGGGAAGAGGAATATTTGCACCTCACTCCAACCCAGCGTGGACCATTTACCATTTCTCCATGATGAAAGGCTATCAGGAGAGCTGGAAAAGTGTGCGGAGCAAAGATTATAAACAGCAATTTTTGCAGGCCAAATTGCTTCCTGAATGAGGGTGTAGGAGATTTAAAGGTGAACATAAATGTCTCGTTGGTAGCATGCAGAGGTTTGTGCTGCGTGAGAAACGAAACCCTAACTCCCTTTTGACCAGTGTTCCTTAACAGGCCTCTCAGATACCTGAAACCAGTTTTAACCCACTCTGGCCCTCCACTGACCACAACCTTACCTGAATGGTGCGGTCCGATTTCCAGGCTGCTCACCAGTCCCCAGGCCTATGGGGTGAGTAATGATTCTCGTGGACAAGCTTCGTGAATACTGATGAGCCCAGAAACTTCAGCTGTTCCTCGCTGGCTTGAGCAGGCAACATTTTTTAAATTCACTGCTGCAAAAAGCATTTCTCTTCTCTTTTCAGTTGTTGCTGATGTTGGCTTATTCTTCTTTTAAAAAATGCAATTTTTTATTGTTACCAATATTTTTAACCATAAAATGAACTTGGAAAATGTAAAAGAGGTAATGTGTCCTCACAAACTGCTGCATTCTGAGCTTTTGATTATTAGGCCCGTGCTTTATAGCTCAAGGGAGTGGAATAAAAAATTGCTGAGAAGCAATTAGAATCATTACCAGCAAATCAGAGTGTCAGAGCAGAGCCTTCGAGTTGGAAGTACCCTTAGAGGTTGTCCAGCTGGCCACCCCTTATAAATACAGAAAACTACATCTGCAAGATGTTCCAGACCAGCAGCCTCAGCATAACTTAGAACTTGCTAAATGAACATTCTCAGGCATCATCTCAGAAACTCGGAGCTGGGAGCCTGGTGATCTGTGTTTTAACAGGCTCTCCACCTGGTGCCAGTTCAAAATGGGAACCCCTGGGCTAGGTCAGGGGTTCTAACCATCATTCACTTTACAAGTAATTTAGTGTGGCCTTCCAGAACCCAGTGGAAGCCGAAACTCTTCGGTTAAATGGGAATCTCTGAATGAAGATTATTGTTAGCTTGTGACATTCCACTGTGGTGACTTACGACCATGTCTAGTCTTGTGACCCTCATCCCCAAAACCCTGCAGAGCGGAGAACCTTTGAAGGTAAAGTATAGCTGAACTTGTGTTTTGAGAACTTCATGATAGTCAGGAGCATTTAAAAACCAACATGAGACACCTTTCCTACTCTGAGGTCACAGTTTTGCTTGTGCTAACTCCTAATTCCTCCCAATGTCACTAGGTGCTAATGAGGAAAGTCTGAATTCCATTTTCACTCCCTTGAGCACCAAAGTGGTGCTTAATTGGCGTGGGTTGTCTAACAACTCTCTGCTTGGGCTTGGGCTATGTTTACAGCCAAGTTTTCAATGCTGACTCAGGGAAATGCTGAGCCACACCCACGGCAGAAACCTGCTTTGGCAAGCCAGGGCAGTTCGGAAAAGGGAAAGTAAGCATCTATGGTCCTGCACTTGTGGACTGGTTTCTGCCTTCCTCGTGAAGTGACCTGTCTCTCTCATTGTCTTTCCAAAACCAGGAAGAGCTCAAGGAGGAAGATGCAGAATGCATTGTGAACCAGGACGAACTGGCCATGAATTACCAAGAGCAAAGCCCCTCGTCCTGCCATCCTCCTGCAAGGCCAGGCCTGGACCAGAAAGCTTCGCCCCAGACACCAAGCAAGGAAAACATTTATGAGGGAGACCTCGGCCTGGGAGGCTATGAACTCAAGCTTGAGCAGACTCCAGGCCAAACCCAAATGAATTAATGGCATGAGGAGCACAGATATAATCACTAGTAAGGCTGGGCTGACTGAAAAGAAGCCAGACAGAGAAGGCAGAAGCTGCAAAACACATGAAGAGCATAAATTGGAGAGAGCCAAAACCTTGCCAGGCGTATCTTCTGGCACCTCCAAAACTGAGAAGTCTTATCAGCCCTCCGTATGATGCATCTGAACTTAGTTCTGTGACACAGCCGTGTTTATTCCTGGGTTGGGTGGGATGGGGGCAGGGAGGTGGGAGTCCTGCTGGGCCAGGGTGATGAGATAGGGGTGCTGGGTCTGTAGGGTGCCGCTGCTCCACAGGCAGCTGTTTGGGACCTGCACTTGGATTTCCAATGTTATTTCCTTCACGGAGAAGAGTTTAAAAATAAGAAAAAGAGCTTCTGAAAGTAAACACTTTGTGCCTAAGCCAAAGGGAATGTCCAGTTGTTCATTAAGTGGTAAGTTTTGTATTTTTAGGACTTGATGCCCACTTGTTCTAAGTGACCCCGGGGTCATATGTGTTCAACACTCACTGTAGGTGGCCTTAAAGAACCCACACAGTGTTGGGGACCGACTATTCTTCTTGACATCCTTTCAAGCTGGTGGCTTACTGCTGGGGGTGGTGATGCCAAATGCAGGGTCAGTTTCCAGCATGGTAAGACCCCTTCCCAGGCTGATGTCTCTTCCAAATACTTATGCTTCGCCTGAAGAACAGGCCTTCATTCCTCAATTGTATTTGAACCACTTCTTGGCTGTGTGGCGGGTCCCCTCTGCATGCTGGGTTATAGGATTGCTCTCCACCAGGCAGGAAGCTGTGCAGGAGCTCTAACCTCCCTCAAGTTCACAGCTGTGAGCAACCTGGGGGCAGCAACTGATGGCAGAAGGCTGGTGACATGTGGATCATACCAAGGATCAGGACAAGGCACCAGGACCCCCCTTATAAGGCATGGCTGATGGCCCATGTTCCAGAGACCAACACAATAGCTTTCAATTCAGCTGCATGACCTGTGCCTTTGAAGCCATAAGATACCTCAAAGCCCATTTCTCTTGAAATATAGATGTCAATATTAGACTCCAAAGAGCAGGCTCCCGACTCAGGGGTCCTGGCTACATGATGGGTCTGCTTTTGGGGGAGGGCGGGGGTGACGTCTTCCTCAGGCTCAAAGCTTATAACTAATGTATGCTTTGCTGCCCGTTGGCTAAGCCTTAAATGTTACCCATGCTGGTGTCGGGTACACCGCTACGCACATGGATTTTTTTAATTTTCTAAATTTTTTTTTTTTTGGCTTTCCAAATAGTAGAATCTGAGGCGCAGATTGATTTATACTCAACTAAGTATATTCTTGTCATTCCAGGTAAATAGGGCAAGTGAGGCAGCATGGAGTTTTCTAATTTGACTTCATCCTAATAAATTTTTATTGTAAACGACCACTATGTTGCCTAATGTTGTTTTTGTTTTTTAATTTTCCAGGACCTTACAAGGCACCAGGACCCAACCTCCCCCCACCCCTTATAAGGCATGGCTGATGGCCTGTGTTCTGGAGACCAACACAATAGCTTTGTGTTGATTGATAGATAGATAGATAGATAGATAGATAGATAGATAGATAGATAGATTGATTGATTGATTTGTGGATGGACACAATACCTTTATTTTATTTGTTTCCTTTTTATGTGGTACCAGGGATCGAACCCAATGCCTCACACATACTAGGCAAGTGCTCTATCACTGAGCCACAACCCCGGCCCCCACAATAGTTTTTAATTCAGCTACATGACCTGTGCCTTTGAAGACATAAGATACCTCAAAATGGGACAGGGGAGATCTTGGTGCCTTCCAATACTGGGGATTAAACCCAGGAGTGCTTAACCACTGAGCTACACCTCCAACCCTTTTTATTTTTTATTTTGAGACAGGGTCTCACTAAGTTGTTCAGGGCCTTGCTAAGTTGCTGAGGCTGACTTTGAAATCATGATCCTTTTGCCTCAACCTCCTGAGCCGATGCAATTGTAGACATGTGCCACCACACCCAGCCTCATGCTTTATTTAAATGCATCTTCTCTGTCCAGGCTAATTGGCAGTTCTAAACTTATCTTTTGTACCCAGAGTGCTAGGTAAAGCAGGTTCTGAAAGCAAACCTAAAGGAGATGCAAGGGTCCTGGGGCAAATGACAGTCATAGGGGCTGGAAGAAGCCACTGAAGGAATAAAGAAAGCAGTGTTGGGCTGGGATTATGTCCCAGAGAAGCGACACTGCGTCGAGCAGAATGGCAGGGCATCTTCTTTTCCCCCGGGGGACAGCCAGAATGTAAGACGAGCTACCAAAATAGGGGGAAGAGATGCTAAAGAAGGGAGGAAAGAAAGAGGTAAGGGCTTATCTTATTTCTGCCCCCATCACTTGAAAGAAGTGAAGAGGTCTTAGTGTTTGCTTTGCTTCCAGTGCAGAAAGTCACAACAAGGAAAGAGATGATTCCCCCAGAAAAGTCAAACATTGGTGAGGACACAAATGGAGAGGTGGGACAGACACATTGAGGAATGGAGAGGAGGGTGCCCAGTCTAAAACCAGCTCAAAGAGGGAAACCAAATCAGGCCTCTGCTTCCCAGACGAAGCCCCTCCTGTGAAGAAACAAGTCTCTTTCCAATTGAAAGACTGCTAAGAGTGGGCACTGTGTGTCCAGGCTGAGCCCAGCAGAGGCGATGCCCTGCCTCTGATGGTGCCCCACCCAGTGCGGAAGATGGCGTTCCAGTCTCAGGAGGTGGTTACCAGCCGCCTTCCTCTCTGTCCTAGACCCTGCAGAGGCTCGTGTCCCACTTAGCAATTCATAGAACCAAATCCCTGTCATGCTCCTGTTATGAAAGATAACCATTTGTGATCTCAAGCAATGCTCTGTACTTTGATCCGCAGTCTCAGGACTGTGAAATTCAAACCTATTATTTACTGCCAGTTTCTAATGAATAATAAAGGCAAAGGAGCTTTATTCAAACCACTAACATTATTAGAGCATTAAACAGGACTAATTAATTAACTGACTTGAACTTCTTGCCATGTGCATTACAGGCACATTCAGGGGTGTGCTTATGCACACACACACTCACACACATGCAAATACACACATACACACATGCACACACACATACACACAAATATGCACACAAGAGTTCCACTCACTGGCAAGTTCCCAGCTAAATCCTCTATGGTGTTCCCCGTGATACTTGGGCATTATCTGAGCAAGTCTGAAGTCTGGGGGCAAGGGCCATCAGGGTTTTGATTCATCATAGAGTTTCTAAAACTTTTTAGCAACTTTAACAATGTAAATCAAAGTTGAAAATTTAAAGACCCTTTAAGCCAACAATTTTATATGCAGAACTTTTATGCTAGATATGTGAGAAATTATACCTATGGAAATAGTAATTGAAACAATTAAATTGCCATCCTGGTTAAATACATCCTGGCACAGCTGCATCATATGAGCTGATATGGAATGATTTGCAAGATCAGTTGTTAAATAAGAACAACCCGGTGCAGAACAGAGTGTGTTCTGTGCCTCCATCCTGGCAGGCTAAAGAAGCAGTAGAATGGTCCCACCTTAACAACTGGGAGGGGATGTGACCTTTCACTTTTGTCCCTTTTGAGCTGTGTACACTGTACATACATTATTTCTTCCAAACCAAATTAAATAGTGATTCCTGAAAAATAACTCCTTCCAAGAACTGAGTTACAGAAGATGGAGCATAAGCCAGAGAAGTTGATAATTTTCATCACAAGTTTTTTGAGGCCTTGAGAATACAAAGAAGCTCAATAGCTTCTGGTTCTCCTTATTAACATCATTTAAGGTGCATGAATGCAAACTCTGTAAAAGGTCTTGAAATTCATCAACTGTGACTCAGTTCCACTATCAAATATCTAGTTGAAGACAACTTTAAAAAAGAATATCTTATTAGACATCAAGGCATATGATAAAGCAATAGTGACTAAAACGGAATGGTATTATCCCACAAAAAAGCAATAGATCAAGAAAATCTAACACTAGGTATAGAAAAAGAACCATGAATACATTTAGAAATTTGGTTCATAAAAAATGGTATTTCTGGAGCTGGGGCTGTAACTCAGTGGTAGAGCGCCCGCCGTGCACGTGTGAGGCACTGGGTTTGATCCTCAGCACCACATAAAAATAAATAAAGATATTGTGTCCAACTACAACTAAAAAAATATATATTTTTAAAAAATGGTGTTTCTGTTCAAATTGGGGATATATTAACCATAATTTATAATTATGCTTTTAATTTGGAAAAAGAAAATAAGATGATGTCCTCTGGATATGTTAAAGCCAATTTCCAAGCAATTTAAATAGCTAAACAATAAAAAACAAAACTATAGGATATCAAAAAATAAGTGAATAACTTAAAATATGCAAAGAACCTTGGAAGGCTACAAGGATAAACAGAAACAAAGGATGATAAATTAGACTGCTTAAAAATATGAAATTTCTTATGATAAAAGACACAACAAAAACAAATATTTTAAAATATTTTTTAGTTGTTGATGGACTTTTATTTTATTCACTTATTTATATGCAGTGCTGAGAATCGAACCCAGTGCCTCACACATGTGAGGCAAGTATTCTACCACTGAGCCACAACCCCAGCCCAACAACAAAACAAATTTTAACACAAGAAATAAACTGGGAGAAAAACACATGCATATACTTTTTGTATGTGTACGTGTATTAGACTAAGTATTATTCTTCAGAAAATACAAAGAACTCCTACCAATGCTTGAGAAAAGGAAAAAAAAAAGTCTCCCGAATATAAAATTGTGCAAAAAACTATGGAGAATTATATATGTATATACCTCCTATTCAGAATTGCCACTGTGTGCTATCTATGCAGAAAATAGATACTTGGAACTTATGCATAAGGAAGTATACAAAGTAATATTCATTGTGGCAGTATTTTTATGGCCAAATATTGGGGAAAAAAATATCCACCAAAGAGTTAACTATGCTCAAATCAGGAAACACTCTGTAGCAATTACCCTGTATAGAGGTGAGTCTGTATGCATGCACTCAGATGGAAATATTTCCAAGATATATGATTAGTGAAGAACAGTCTAGAATGACAGTAGACTGATAACCAAAAACAGGCAGGATTAGGAAGACCGGATCCAGAGAGCCTTCGGGTTTATCTGCATTCTCGTTAATCTTTATAATGAAACTCTCAAC